CTCCGGCACACATCCCACAGCAATCCCGCCAGGACAGCGGGGTGAGAGCAGGGAGAGCACAAGCATCACGGGTTTTACCCGCTTTTGCCTGTTTTGTGCTCTCCCTGAAGTGAATGACCGCCCGCCAGCCCTCCCTGGGGTGTGTGGTTATCGAGCAGAGAGACGCAGTTAAAGGGCTCAACCGGGCACAAGACAGCTCATTTCTGTTCCCTGCTCAGCGATTTACTTGCTGGGAAGCGCTCAGAAAGACATCTCTCCAGCTTATCAGTGCATTCATTTCCTCTGCTGTAGCCTGGCACTTGCTGAGGAATAAAACACTGGAGGGTGGATGGCAGGCAGCTGCCCTGGGACCGGGTTGAGTCTCAGCAGATGCAAACTGACAGCCCCTGCTCCCAGAGCTGTCTGCTGGAGCTAACATCCACACTCTGCTTTTGAAAGAGCTCTTTTCTAGATTATGTGACTGAAAAATAAAGTTTGCAGATGTGACTCAGTAGAAGACGATGGGTTGTGGACACTTGTTCCTCACTGGGCTGTTCCCATCCCATCCCATCCTGCCACTGCCCTGGGAGTAGAGCAGGGAGTTGGTCCTTCACTGCTGGGAGAGGGGAACAGCTAACCATGGATGTGTTATGTCTCTGAGAACACAGCTCCTCTGGTAATGGGAAATTTGGGGTAGAATTCTGGTAAAATTGATAGAATTCTCTGTTAAAATGCACCATTAAATGGGGCAAACATGGGAAGTGCTCTCAGCCTGTTTCATCCCAAGGGGTTGTGTATTCTCCCTGGTGTTTTTGAGGAGAGTACTTGCAGAATTAGTTGCTTATTAAAACTCAATTTAATGCTAAAAAAGGAAAGTTCATGAACTCCAGCCTTGGGACTGCAACGGCTCCAGGCTGAAATGAGAGCACCAAAGCAACACTCTTGATATTGGAAAGAAAAACACAGGGAAAAAAGCTGATTTGTCTTACTGATTTGGGAATCAGCTTAGGCCACAGCAGCCTGAGTGAGCAGCCTAAGACTCTCTGGCTTTTTGAGCATCTTAGCTGGGGTGGCATGATCAAGGATGCCCATATTTCTGGCACATACTGAAATCCTTCCAAGTCCAGATTTATGTGTGAGATAAGTTATAACTGTGTGACTCTAGCCCACTCAGAAAAGTGAGTTATCTGTGGGAGAAGAGAAACACAGAGATCTATTCTGTACTGGGTAAACAAAGCTGTGCTGTAGTGGGTGATTTCAGGAGAGAGCTGGAAGCCAGCTTTAAAAAGTTATGGTGAAAGCAGGAGAGAAGGGTTTGCTTCTGCCTCCCCACACCCCCACAGCAGCTCAGTGAGTGTTTCCTCTTATCTGAAACTCCTCAGCTATCAGACTAGGAGTGACCAACCTTTAGAAATAACCCAGGCAGGTACAGGGATACACTGGCTTAGACAGACAGCTGCCTCTTTCAGATTTACCATATCTTCTCCTGGGAAGGACAGGAACAATGTAATGGACACGGGTCTAAATTTGTCCCTAATAGTGCCAACATAAAATACCCGACAGCTCTTCACTCAGACTGATGGCTTTGGAATGCCAGACTGTCAGAGTGTTGTCATGGCCTCTTGCAGCCTGACTGATGATCATTTATCTGAGCTGCAGGGCCCCGAGGCACAGGGCTGTGCTTGCACAGACAGCCCCACTCCAGCTCCCTGTGAGGGATCCACCCCACAGGCTCATCCTGTGAGGAATCCACCCCACAGGCTCATCCCTGTGAGGGATCCACCCCACAGGCCCATCCTGTGAGGGATCCACCCCACAGGCTCATCCCTGTGAGGAATCCACCCCACAGGCCTATCCTGTGAGGGATCCACCCCACAGGCTCATCCCTGTGAGGAATCCATCCCACAGGCTCATCCCCACCCTCAGCACACCTGCTGAGCCCAGTCCTGCAGGCATCACAAGTCACACAGTCATGGGTGTGTGTTAAATAGCATTTTATTAATACTGTTAAATAGTGGTGTATTCAATTAGCCCAAGTCCCCAGCTCAGATGCACACTGTCAAAGGCATCTTCCTTAAAGCTCTACTAGCAGCACTCTGAAGTGACTGCAGCAGCAGCCTTGCTCCAAAGTCCCTTCCCCAGTCACTCCCAGGCTCACACTCTGTCAGCAGAACATATGGCCAGAGCCCATGGCCAGCACCATTCCCACAGCTCCCATCCCATCCCAATGCCTCCCTGACTCACTGATGTCTGAATTTAGGCAATGTGAGAGGAGACCTCATCACAGTCTGTAACTGTCTCAGGAGGGGAAAAGGAGGGTCAGGCACTGGTCTCTTCTGTTGTGACCAGTGACAGCATCCAAGGATCCTCAAGTTGTGTCAGGGCAGGTTTAGGTTGGATATTGGGAAAAGGTTCTTTCCCCAGAGGGTGTTTGGGCACTGAACAGGCTGCCCAGGGTACTGGTCCCAGCACAGAGGCTGCCAGAGCTCCAGGAGTGTCTGCACAGCCCCCTCAGGCACAGGGTGGGATTGCTGGGGTGTCTGTGCAGAGCCAGGAGCTGGATTTGATGATCCCTGTGGGTTCCCTCCCTCTGTGATTCTGTGCTGGATCCCAGCAGGCACAGGTGAATGCCAGGAACTCACTGTGTGATCGTGGCACTGCCAAAATTCTCCAGAGCCTCCAAACTTCCACACCAATGAGCCACATTCTTCCTCCAGCCACCAGTCTTTTGATTTTTCTCTCCTCCAGCCACACAGCCAAAACTTTCTGCTCCCTGCACTGGTGCAGCTGCAACACAGCATCTCTTGCAGTGCCAACAGGAGCAGCTCCCAGCAGGCTGATGGAGCAGCATTCCAGGTTCCCAGTTGGCTGGAGGAGCTGGGACTCAGTCACACCTTAAAATGACATTTAGGCAGCAAGCAAATACATTTTTGAGTGTCTTCTCCTTGCCCCTGTTTATCTGCAAGGTGCATTTAGATTCCAGAGGCTGAGGTGCAAGCAGCATGCCATCCACTTTGTGCAGAGCCCAGTGGAGCGTGCCTGCCTCTTGGTGCCAGTTTCTGCTTTCCACTGACAGCTCTAACAGAGATTGAATGCTGTGATTATTTCTGAAATAATTTGTGAATCCAGAGTTTATTTTTATCCAGCATGTCTAGGACACCTCAAGAATTCAAAAAGCATTTAGTACCTGAGAAATGTAATTGTGAGTCCCCTCTGGGAAAAGAGGGACTGGAGCATTTCTATTTCATTGCTGGGGGAGTCCTGTAATTATTTAGCACAATTTCTGACTCAAAAGTGTGCTGAATCTCAGTCTAACAGAAAGAGGTTCTCCCTTTCAGAGTGGGTTCAGTGCTTTGGGTGCCACACAGGTGGAGGTGCCTTCTGTAGGAGCAACACACCCAACCTCAGGAGGGGCTGAGGATAAAGCTCTGCAGACTGAGCTGCTCATGGTCTGCACCTGGGGCTCCTCCTGGGCTGTGAGCTCCTTGGCCAGGGCCAGCTGCCTCAGAGCCAAGCTGACCAGCATTTAATTTCTTTTTAAATGTGACTTTGGGCACGTATCTTGTTGCACGCACGTGGTCTGTGCTCGGGCACCTCACAAGGCTCCACAACATTGCTGCACTGCCAGCATCAGTGGTGAACCTGCTGTGGATTCCATGACTCAAGAACACACACGCCATGAAAAAATTAGCACATTAAGTAGGCAAGGTGGCATATCAAATTCTAAAGGGGAGTTTGAGAGTAGGAAGTAGCTTGAGTTGCTGGGAAGCAATGAGCAGTCAGCCAGTTTTGCTCAATTGTGTGTTTGCTTTGATGTTAATAGAAAAACCCATGAACTCAGACCTGTCTTTAGTTGCCAGTGAACAGACAAGCTCAGTATTAACATCCACAGCCAGAGGGGAAGAGCAGCTGCCCAGCAGCCTTTTAGCAGTACTGTCCCATTAAATAAACAAGGAAGCTCCCCAGAAATCAGCAGAGCAGGAATGGGTATGCATGGCTTGTTTTGTGGGTCTGGATTGAATTTTTTGGACAGCAAGGGGCCTGTA